GGCTGTTTATATGAGCTTTAATGTCAGAACGAGGTATATTTTTATTTGGTTCAGATCAGATTAAAGTTTATGAACCCAAATGTTGATTGGTACTGATATTTTCCAGCGAAGAAATATTTTACATGAACAACGGTGCTGATTTAGGTGATTGTTGGTGGTAAGGCAATTGCTAAATAATCTGTAAAGTATAAGTTTGGTTACAGCATATTCTTCTATTTATCCATCCATTATTTCTAATAAGGTAAAAGGTATTCATAATTCCTCTGCTCTGCAACATTCTACAGCTCATTCTGATTCATGCCTCGAAGTATCCATGAATAAACAGATATAAATGTAACCCCTCCAGCAAATCTTTGGTCTGGCCCAGGGTCTCCAACCAGTTCCTTTGCCTGGAGAGTCTTCCAGAAGAACTCGTTCATTAGACACCCAAAAAGCTAAAAGACTTTGCTCTTAAGGCTTCTGAGATCTCTTTATCACACACACACTTCTATTGACCTGAAGTTGCAAATATGACCATAAGACCTGCAAAAATAATACTCTGTCATCTCAAACTAGATACCCTACTCCTTACAACTTTGCTTTGACCATCTCATCCTGAGGTGAGGAGGTGCAGCCCTGGAGGAGTTCAGTCCTCCCTGGGAATCAGCTTGACTTTACGCTGAGAAAACAGATACAGTTCTTGCTTGTTATTCGAGGAGTGGACAGCCAGTAAAGCATTATCTGGCACCTTTCATGCCAAAAGAGGTGTCAGAGGGATATGTGTCCCCACTCTGGGGAACACAGTGATATATATGCCTTCTTAAGATCTACAAACACATCCTGTGACCCCCCTCAACAAGCATAAGGATTAGGTTCAAATTATATTTCCAAGCCCAATTTTGTAACTACTTTTTGTCATAAGCTTCCACTTGCATTGTAAAGTCAATTTGCAGAAATATGGACGTGTAAAACGTCTGGATAAATTGATTTATCAAAGGCTTTGTCTTGATATTTGACCCAGTCAGCGGCATATAAAATGAAGAGCGATCATGCTGCAGACATCTTATTTTCCAGTGCATCAGGAATGTTGGGCCATTTTTAGACTGTTTGTGCTGATATTGTGTCCCACACCAGCTCCTTCTCTTCCCTCCCTCTCATTCTTTCTCTTTCTCTCTCTCCTACTCACACACACACATGCACACACATCCTCCTGCTCTGACCTTGTCTCTGGTCAGTAGCACTGCTGAAGTCAGGGGGGGAAAATCATGTTTCCCTTTCTTGTGCAATCTCTTACTCTGATGCTACATTTCTTACACTGTTTTTTTTCTTTTTGTTTCCTGTCATCCATGTTTTATGATGTTTGTGTGTACAGACTGTCCCTACTGAGGAGCTTTGACAGTAAGGCCAAACCTTGACTTTAGTCTTGCTTCAAACCCTGTTGTTTTTTTTCCCCTCACGCTCATTCATAAAGCAGGGTCAGTTCCCACTTCTTTAATTTGTCTTCATTTTTTTACCCTCTTCGTCTATAAGAAAAGGGTAAAGAACAGATGAAAAAACCTCTCCCATGGGACCACTCCTTATTTATTCTTGCTGTGACGCTAGCCTCCATTTCCTTTTACATGAAGCCTGGATGCTGCAGGAACCTAGCATCCTGTATGCTAACTCAACTTTTTGTCCTTTCTGCACTTCTTTCTCTACGCATTCAGCATTCCTTCAGGTCCCCTTCCTGCCATTGCTTCCTTTTCTTTGTTGTTGTTTCCCCTGTCTTGCTTAGGCATTCCTTGTTTACAGTCTCTGCAGAGGGCATGCGTCAGTTCTGTGCAGGTTGGGCCAGCGTTGTGATTCGCAGTGATGCTGTAGCACTGCAGAGGAACGAGGGATCTGTAACTTTGCTGCAGTCAACCCCTGTCTCAGGACGTTGGTCTCTTAACAATGCACCAAAATCCATTTCCATGCCACACTTAGCAGGATGTGTAGCTTTTTAATGTCATTGTAAGAAGACTTGACAGCATGCATCACAGCCGGCCGTCTGTACTGTCAGACAGACACTGATAAATAGGAGCTACATAGGATGCCCCGACAGATACGTTGTATATTTTTGGTGAAAGCTCACACAAATATGATGCATCTAAAAGGAGTGTATGGATTTTCTGTCATTCTTCAAATTTGGGGGGAGAAATATTTCATATACTGGACACTTTACAAATTTCACAGAAAAATTCTAGGTTTCTATATTGTTTACTTACATTATATAACAAATCACAATACTTGCTCAGGGTTTATTTATTATTTCCACTTAAAATGTTTACTTTCTTAAAATTACAACAAGTCAAACTAATAAACATAGCAAGAGAACATGCATGTGTGCATACGTGTGTGTTTTCTATTGCACTTCACATGTATGTACAGTTAAAGACCTCTAATCCTCCGGCATAGAGATCAGATGCCCCAAATAGATCTGATCGCATTAGGATTATTAGCCAAACTTACCTGAGCTTAGTAAAGTGAATGGAAGATAAAATAAAGAAAAACAGTCTCTCAAAGATGAACTTGTTAGTACAAAAATGATTAAATGTGTGCACAAAGTTAAGGAATGAAGTGAGAAAGTATAAGCACATGGCATAAATGTGAAAGATTATATTTATTTCTCAGTCAATTTACTTGACTGTTTAAATATATTCGCTCTCTGAATGGTATGACTGGCGGTGTGATTTTTTTTTTTTTCCTGTGCTTGTTGTGGCCAATTTTCAATCTCCAATCTAGTAAAGATCCACAATGTCTTGTTTTGGAAAAATATAGCAAACAAAATTAAAACTTTTGCTCTACATTTTGTTTTAGTGCCGATTTAAACAATTTTCAAATGAAATGTTTAATATGGCTGATAACTTTGCTTTTTGTAAAAGAGACTTCAGATCTCGGTTGAACTGAATATTGTCACGTCAGCATTAGTGTTTGTGTATTGGATTAGATTTTGGTTGAAGGTGAAGAATATTTCCTTATTGAACTGTACAGTTCAACATTATTTTGTATGAATCAGCTACCTTCAAACGTCTGTGCTGTGACTACCCATTATGTATTCATGCACACTGAGGAGCACATCAGCAAAATACCTTTTAGCATAAGCAAGCACATAACAGGTTGTAAGAAAGTGCAGTTGTGCTTAAAAGATGATGGCCACGAATTACTGATGTAGTCCAAACTTCAGAAATTCTTCTTTTGTTTTCCACTTTGTCATTCTTGTCTTACATGTGTCTCATCTCCATCACCTCTGCTGTGCTCCTGCTGCATCCGTGCCCTCTTCATCCCTTCCTCCGTTAAGCTTGCAGTGTTCCCTCCTCCTTCTTGTCCAGCGGTGGTTCGATGATGCGGTGATTCATAGCTGCAGTAGGCACTGCCTCACAGTCATGTGACCAAATCCTGCCTGACAACATGGGTGGGGGGACCAACAACAGAGCCGGGGCTGGATTGTGTGCAGTCACATGCATGTGCTCATCAGCATCCACCCTGCCATCTTTTCCTCACGAACACAGAGACGTTTCAGACCGCGCGCCTATCCTCTCATCCTTTTAAAGTACGACATCAGCCGCAGATGCACTCCATTCCCAAACTCTCCATCATGCAGCCGTTTTTAATAACTGTTATTTACTGATTTGATACAACATAACAAGAAATAACCTCAGCAGTTTAGAGATGTGACTTTCTTAGACTGAATGCTTTATTTACATTCAATCTAAGAATGCAGCCCTGTAACCCTGCTTTTATCTTCGATTATAAGATCACAAAGCCATGCTTTATGAGGTATTTTTGTTCAGTTGCACCAAAAGCTCATTCACATTACCTTGCAAGTATTTATAATTCCTGCATCGCATGCAGTAGGTCAGTGCAAAGAAGGATGTGAATAAAGAAAGGATTTTGTAAAACCATATTTTCCTTCTGTCACAGCAGTAGATGGTCTTATTGTATGTGCTTCTAGCAAAAAGTAAAACATTCAGTCTGTTTTTTCCTGCCCTGTAGCTTGGACTCATACAGTCTGGACGAAGAGCATTTAATATCAATTCTGTTGGGTTTATGTCTGGACTTTGACTTGGCCATTGGAATACATGAATATACTTTAACCAGCTTCTCTGTCCCTGCTAAAGAAATGCATCCCCACATCATGATGCTTCTACTTCTACCATGTTTCCCAATGGCCATGTCTGCTGTGCATCAAGTTTAACATGCAAACAAAAAGAGTTAAATTTTGGTCTCGTCTGACCAAGAAGTCATTTTTCACATGCGTGCTGTGTTGGTTGTGACCAATCTGCAAACTGACCTGTTATGGCTTTCTTTCTTCAATGACTTTCTTCTTTCCACTCTCCCAGTGTGAACAAAAGTAATTGCTGGGTTTCAAATGACGATGTCACCCAATGCAGATGGAGAGCCGGAAGTAAATGCAGCCCATTTATTTCTGTTGATACAGCATCAAAATGCCTAAAATCTGTGTCCTGTACGGTTGTTCCAACCGTTCCAATGGAGATAAAGATAAACATTATTTCCTGTTTCAAAGGTAGTTGGTCAATTTTTCTTTGTTTTGAACCGGAGACATCCCCTTCGAGCTCTCCATCTGAATTTTGCGCGTCGCCTGGGTCACATGACTGAAACCCAGCAATAGTTTGTCCCACTTCACACTTGGCTGATTTTTATTTCCAAAGCCAGGTATCCTTCCATTTTGCAATCATTTGCTCTTTTGATCTCAGTCTATGTCATATAATTACAATAAAGTTTATTGAAATTTGTGGTTATACCATGACAAAACACGAGGATCGACTATATATAATCTTTTATCATCATTTACTGTCATGGAATATTCCTGAAAATTTAGCAGTTCAGGTCAACTTATAACTTCCCTATTGCACTAAAACAAAAAGTTTGCCATCATATTTGGAGGCTCTTACTTCCTTGTTGGATCATTATCATATTTTCCGTTGCAGCAATGAGTAATGAAGCTCTTGTCTCTTGTGTGTTGTTTATTCTCCATGCAGGTGGAGCTGGGCAGGAAGCAGGAAGTTGTGGTTTACGACCAGAGTTCCAAAGAGGCAGGGCACCTGTCCAAAGACGGCTTTGTGCACATCCTCATGGGAAAGTTGGAGGGCACCTTCTACAAAGTCTCGCTTCTCACCGGTAAACAAGACCATCTGCGCTATTGCTCTTTGTGGGTGTTGTATGCTTAATGAGTGGGATGATGGTGAGGTGAGCGAAAGAAAAGAAGCTTTTATTGTCCAGAGAAAGCTTCATCTTTGTGCACACATCTCCTGCTGAACAGGTGCAGCAATGTCATTGCTTGGTTTAGCCAGCAGATGTCACATTATGCCAGTTGTTCCTCTTTTTTTTTTAAATGCTGCCTCACTGGTATAAAGTTTGCAGGTTTTTCCTGAGATAGGAGAGAGAAGATGAAGTAAAGCAGCATAACCTTGTAACGCAAAGCCTGTCTGATGTGTTTTGATGTTTAAGCTTCACTGGAGCCGTCTCCTCACCCAGCATCCCTGCAGGAATCTGAAAGCTTATTTCAATCCTTCTAGTGGTCTGCTAGAAGCAGTTAGTATGCTGTCATAGTACCCACTAATCGCAGAAGGCTTCTCATAATTAGCTTTAATAAGCTTTCTGACTTAATATCCTCCTAATTGTGTTGGCTGCAGCCTTTTAAGGGACAGCATAACACACACACACACACACACACACTCGCTACCCGAGGCTTATGAATTTGTCCCAAATGTGCCAATGCAGAAAAGAGAGTGTAATCTGCCTCTGTCAGGAGGATTTGAAATGAGATGGGCAGAAACATACTGCTTTGCTAAATCTCTGCTCTGGTTTCCTCATCCCTATTCTCTTCATCCTCTCAATTTGCTCCTTCTGCTTGGAGATTAGTGCTTTTTTCATGAGTCATTCATGATTGCTGAGGATTGCCTCAAAGAACCCCAGGCTCTCAAAGTATCCTCTGCTTTTTGTGAGGGTGGGGAGGAATGGTCCAAGCCTATATATAAATATATGTGAAGTTGTCCTGTCAGCAACTCACACATCCTCCTCATTATCTCCACTGCTTATCCTTGCTCTTTTTTTTTCTTCCTGAAGTAAAAAAAGAAGAGAGTCATACCTTTTTTATTTCTGCTGCCGCTTCTCTGCTGTTTCCACGACAACAAAGGCAGAAAATAGTCCCCAAGAAAAAAAAAAAAAAATCCCAGCCAATAGCGTCGGCTCTTGTTTGGGTGCTTGTATTATTGGGGTCAGTGGAGCTAGCAGCCAGTATCTGTGCATGAAAAATGCGTAGGTTTGCATGCAAGTGCTTTGGAGGAGAAAAAAAAAAACGAGATTGTTACATGCGAGGTTGCTTTGTAACGTCACATGGAAAAGTGCTGCAGTAATGTTTATGAGTCAGGATGTAGCAGGTTTGTGAACGCTAGGAATAACTAATAGAAACAATATTTTTTAAAGACTTTATTGCTTGATGACTAAAAAGAAAGTGTATTTTGCTTTATTTTAGTTCAAGAGCCTTAATGCCAAAATATCATACCAACATTTTTTATTAAAAATGTGAATAAATTTTATCTCAAAATTTATGTTAGTCTGTAGGCATTTAATCTTGATTTGTGTGTGTACTTTAAAGCTAGTTGTTGCTGCATGTAGTGATGACGTCTTCAATTGTCTTCCTGGTCCAGCTACATTGAACATTTGATGATCTCTGGCTGTTTTACTTTTTCTGCATTTTTCTGCTTGCTGTATCTGCAGAAAAGCATCTGAGAGGCAACCAGAAAGCTAAAATGTGAACAAATAAATACAGTTTTAATGGTAATTTCGATTAGTGGTCACTAGTCCCTAGTCCCTAGTGGTCACTAGTCAGACCCACGCAAGCTGAAATAGTTCAATAATCGTCATCAGCTGATGTTTTTGTGCATCTCCAATTAAAGCCAAACCATTTAATTTAAAAAAATGAAGTCTGCACTAAACTATAGTCTCCATACAAATCAAATTCTGCCAGTTTTCAGTTTTTGTTCTTGCAAATAATGGGTTGGTTTTCTTCTGAAATTCAAACCCTGCTTTTAGTTCACCAGATGATCCACTAATACGTGACAAAATGGCGAAAAAGTGTCGCTGAAGCTCTAGCTTATACTTTGTTCTTCCTGACCCTTTCTTTGTTTATCTTTGCCGCTCAGCTTGTGATTTATGGCACTAATATTTCCTCTGATTGGTTCATAACTGATTGGTTTATCATTAACTTCACATGCACTCATTACACACCGACACACAGCTTATACTGTAGCATTCAGTTTAAAGGAAAATTAAAATGACAAATGGTTAAACAACATCATTAGAAGAAATTTTATTAGACTTATAGCTTTGGGTGGTTAACTCTGTCTACCATAGGTTTTTCTTTATTTATATTTACTGCTTACAAACAGTAGATTAGTTCATTTTCCAACAACAAGGCTACGTTATTGTATATTATGAATCTGTCTTTTTATTGATTTGAAGCTCACTATTTATAAGGAGGATACATTTCAGAAACCGAGAGATGGCAGATGAACCCGTAAACACAACCCAAGCATGTGTATTTGTTACAAATCAAACCCAATGGAATCAGTGATGTCTACCGAGTCTGTCTCCATTCATAAAATAACCATATAAATAATCATCATTACAACAGTTTAAATGACATACCACTTCCCAAGTGAGGATGACGTTATGTGACCTCATCCCAGATTATCTCTTTGGGGGTTTTGTTTTGTTTTGTTTTGGTTTTTTGTTAACAATAAATAATCCCGAGTCTGACTTGACTCTCGCTGTGTAATTAGTTTGAAATATGTATTTGCTCAGGATGTGGTCGTGGTGACAGTTGGAAAATGTTACAGTGTGCTTGTAAATCCAAGTGTGCTCAAGGGTTAAGCGTTTGTTTGAGCGCTTTATTGATTGTGTGAAAGTGTTGGTGAGAAACATGTCTCTCCCAGGACAGCTGTATTTTTACCACAGCAGTGATCTCACCCACAAGGACCTTAGGCGGATGAGTTTTGCTTTTTTTAGGGTTTTGTCTTTGCGTGTGTGTGTGCGTCTGAAGGGGGAGCGCTCCACTTTGTTTGGGCCAGCTGCCTCCCCAGTGGGTCTAAAGTTTGTATGTTTCCCACTGTCCACTGCCGGACTGCGCAGAGTTGGTGGTACGTTAAAGAACACCAACTGTGTAGCCTCGACGTGCGTCCGGCCAATGCGAAGCATTTTGATGTCGCCATTCGGATCTCATGTTCTAGTTTCAGCGGATGAAATAAACAAAGAGTCCTAAAACAAGGAGAAGTGATGATAGAAAAAAACAATACATTTAAAACACTTTTTTTTAGCAATTCACCAAAACTTTGCCAGGTACAGATTATGAAACATAAAAAAAAAAGCAAATACAGAGAGATGTAATGATTCTGATCTGTCATTTAGCAGGAAATGAAGGTGTAAGAGTTTATGAGCAGCAGTGCATCTTTTGAGATGGGAAAGATTGCTCTAATCTTTCCCATCACCATCTGTCAGGGCTTTTTTAATAATTACTCCAGCGTCGCATCACGAGGTCAAAAATCCAAAGAGCTAAGACGCGTTGAGAATCAACATTCGTATGGAGAACTGTTTGTGTTGTCAGAAAAGAACACAACCAGTTCAGCAGAGTAATAAAAGTGTCAGTGGTCCACACGGAGGAAAACATTTTTTACCTGAATATTAGCAAATCCTAATAACGACTAGTTTTTAATTTGAAAAACTACAACTTGAAAGTGTAGTGAACCCGACCAATCTGAGCAAAGGAGATGCAATAATGTTGAATCACTTAAATCCTCCTGTTCCTCTCTTGCTAATTTACGATAATAAGACAACTTTTTATGTTTTGTTTTTATAATTCTTCATTTTACCAATCCTGATTCGTGATTAGGATCTATGTATATTTTTTCCTGAATACCACAGTTTACAGCCCAAAGCATAAATTTTCTTGTGCTTTGGGCAAATAAAACAAATAAAAACAAACAGCAAAATAAGAAGATACATGAGGTCTCTCCAATAACAGTGGTTATTGTTCTGTTCTGCATGACTTTGAGAACAGCGGTTGAGATGTTTGCTAACACACTACTTCACAGGACCAATATTGAGCAACATTAACATTGAAAAAGTTTACTTTTGTCTATGATTCATGAAAAGACTGCATGGAACTGAAAACCTGACAGTAATGCTGAGAGTTTCAGAAATTTCTGGTCGAAACATTGAATGCACTCCTGTATTTCAGTATTTCAGTGTAGTATTCATCTACACTTATGCAACCAGGAGCTTGCAGAAGTTTGTTTTTTTCTTGAACTGTGTAGGACATATGTCTTATTAAATGTGGAAACGCTTCCTCTTTTTATGTAAGAAAAAGTCTTGCATTGTAACAGGGGTGTGTGAACTTTTTAAATGTGTTTTGTAATAATAGCTGAAAAAAAGCCTATATCATCCAATGTCATCTTCTCTCATTTCCTCCTAATCCCTTGCTGCAAGGCAACAGTGCTACCAACTGAGCCACTGTGCAGCCCGTATTACTTTCAAATATATATTTAAATTTAATTGTATAAAGTGTATGTATTTATTGATTTTATAGATTATGGCTCTCCCATCAGGCAGACAAATCTTGTCAAAAGTGTACAAACTACCACAGGACACTGACCTACTGCTGAGAGCAATTAGGAGATGAAAGGTTCTTTAACTCAAAAACATACATTAGGGTTGTGCTGCATGGGGCTTCAAAGTCATCAGCCTAAGGTGTGACTTCACAGATGGATGTACAAAGGTCAGTTCTGTTACATGTCATGTTGCCGCTCTGGTGTACAATTGGGTGGTGTCCTATTTGTGTATCTTTGCATCTATGTGTGTGTTCCTGTGTGTGTGTGCATCTGAGAGAAGCTGAAGAGGTGAGGTAATCATAGGAGGCAGAAACTCACAATGAAGCTGTTCACAGAGACATTCCAGGGAGCCACATAAGGAGGTCTTTTGTGTCCCTGTGTGTGTATGCATGTGTCTCTTGCACTTTTCACCATTAATATGTGCATATGAAGTGGTGCGTGTGCACGCGGATGAGGCAATGTTTGAGAATACATGTGTCGGATTAAGAAAAAGCACAAATGAGAGGAGTC